AAAATATAATGCATAAAATATTGAATATGTTCAGTAAATGTATTGAATAGTGTATATGCAATAAAAAACTTTGAAAACCATGAATCCTTGTGGTGCTGCTAATATTTCCTTTTCCTTATGTGGTTTTCTGCCAGAGGTAATATTATCTCTCCCTTTCTGATTGTTTTTACATTACTGGAGGCATCAACGTGATGCATTTTTCAGCAAATTCTGCATATGTTGTGGATCCATGTGTGTAGTTTTGTTTCTTTAAGTGTATGATGTGTAGATTTGCTTTTTAATTTTGCAGGCACTAGGTCTATTTCTGTTCTCAGAGTTCTCTAAATATTTAATTGTACAGATAAAATTAACTTTTGACCTGGGAATTTCCAGTAAAAGATACAATGATTTGATTGTCCTTTTTCACTGTCTTTTGAAACCACAAATCTAATTTAGTTGAAAATAAGAAATATAATTTGTTTTTACAGACCCAAAATATTGCTATTTTAAATATTACTGTATGGTCTAGTATTTATAGAGTCTAGTATTTTTTAAAAATATTTTTATTCATTTATTTGAGAGAGAGAGAGTGCACATGAGAGAGAGCACGAGTAGTGTGAGGGGCAGAAGGGAGAAGCAGACTCCTTGCTGAGCGGGAAGCCAGATGACAAGGGGCTTGATCTGGGACTCTGGGATCATGACCTGAGCCAAAGGCAGACACTTAACTGACTGACCCACTCAGGTGCCCCTAGAGTCTAATATTTATTAGTTATGTATTTCCAGTCTAGTTTCTATATAACTAGGTAATTTATCTCTTTTAGAACGTTTAATTATTTTTATTTTTGAAAAAAATTTATTTTAATCTTAATAAGTTAACATACCAGTGTAATGTTAGTTTCAGGTGTGCAATACAGTGATTCAACACTTCACACATCACCCAGTGCTCATCAGGACAAGTGCCCTCCTTCATCCCCATCACCTATTTCACTCATCCCCCTCCCTGCCCTGTAACCATCAGTTTAACAGTTTTTTCTTTTTTTTAAATTAAACTCAGTGGGTTAAGTTTTATGCTTTTGGGAAATTTTTCATTTAAATAATTTTATGAAATCAGGTAAAAATATTTTAAATATTTATATATTTTGCATATTTAATCTATTTTTGTACTTCCAGTATTTTCATTATATGCCTACATAGTCCATTAATTTCCACAAAAATTCACAAGTAAACTTAAAATTTAAAATTTATCTTTCCCTCTCATTTTCAGTTGTCTGTTTTAGTATGTGGTAGGACGACAATATAAATAGCTGGAGTCTGCATGGAGTATATGTATCCCGCAAACGAAGTTATGAAGCCTAGTACTGCTTCTTAAGCCTTCAAAGACAGAATGATATTTAAATAGCCCCCCTTTTCTTTTTTTCCATTATAAGTTCTTGCTTGTTTTCTTTATGACACTTATAGTGTATAATATATAGTTTACTTGTTGACCTATTCATTGATATAATTCATTTATGACACAAATATTTGAGGGTCTCCTATGTGTGAAACATTCTGCTGGGTGCCTGGGAATACATCTGTGAAATAAACAGGAGAGGCAAGATTCCACTAGAATGTGAACTCCATGAAGATGGGGCTTGGAGCCAGGGTTAGCCAGGCTGTCAGGGAGTCTGGTACCAAAAGAGATGCCCAGACCTCGGGAGAAGCTGCTGCTGGGATGAACTGGGAGCCTAAATTCATGGAAGCTTTCTGGAAGCTTGGTGCCCCAGGAGCTGCGTAGGGTCAAAGGAGCCTGCCAGGATTCTGGGGCTATAGGAGCTGCCTGGAGCTGTGGAAGCCAACAGAAGCCAGGGTAGATCAGCAGGCTAGGTTCATGGGGGCCCACTGGGGAGCCTGAAGCCAAGGAAGCTGCCTCGAGCTTTGAGATCTACCTGGGGCCTCTGGAGCCAGCAACACTGGAGTGAGCTGGGGGCTGGGTTTGCAAGAGTCCATAAGGAGCTCCCTAGTCCTCAGGAGGTTGCCTGGTGCTGAGGTGGGCCAACTCTGAGATCTGTGGTGAAGTCAGGTGCTCACTTCACTCTACTTTCCCCATGGCCCATGCTGGGCTGCCCAGGACTGGGGGAAGTGAAGGAGGCTGAGTGTGAATCTTTACTGAGTCTTCTCTTATTTCTGTGCTTCACCCAGTTGCTGTATCCCTCACCTAGAATCCTTGGCTCTTGCGAAGGTATTTTTGTAAATGATGTTTTTGGGTGGGAGATGAGTGCTTGAAATTCTTATGCCGCCATTTTGCTGACATCACCCTGCAACCAACACTGACATTTTAAATTCTTACCTATATCATTAGATTTTTATCATATATAATGATTATAGTCATTTTATAAAGGAGGAAGTTGAAGCCTGAGCTGCTTTGTCACTATAGTTTAGTTTGCATTTTCTAGATTTATATGAATAGAATCACACAGTGTGCACACTTCTATGTCTTCTTTCACTCAGACTAATAATTTTGAAATCAATGCTGTTGGTTTATCCAGTTACAGTGAATGAGCATTTGGATTGTTTCTAGGTTTTAGCTATTACAAATAAACCTACTATGGATGCTGAAGTATAAGTCTTGAAGAGATATATGTTTTCTTTTCTCATGGGCATATAGAAATGGAAAGGCTGGATCATGGAGTAGGTGTATAACTTTTTAATATGTCTGCAGATTCTCACATCTTCTAAACATGTTCTAATTTCTTTATGTGGGTCTGCGATAAATTGGAGAGTTACTTCTTGTATACACTGCAAAAGCCTGGATCAAACTTCATTTTTTTAAACACATGGACATCAATTTTTCCACCACCCTTTGTTGTTAAGACTATTCTTTCTCCATTGAGTTGCCTCCCCACCACTGTCAAAAATCAGCTCTCCATGTATAGCTGACCCTTGAACAACAGAAGTTTAAATTGTGTGAGTCCACTTATACATGGATTTTTTGATAAATACATTTACAGTACTGCACAGTACAGGACTATACAGAAATGATTTTAACAAAATTTTCTTTTCTCTAGCTTGCTTTATTGTAAGAACACAGTATATAATACATATAAATGCAAAATATGTGTTAATCTACTAATTATGTTATCAATAAGGCTTCTGGTCAACAATAGGCTATTAGTAGTTAAGTTTTGGAGGAACCAAAAGCTATATACAGATGTTCAACTGTGCAGGGTGTCAGTTCCCCTAACCCCTTTGTGTTGTTCTAGGGTCAACTCTATATGTATGTCTATTTCTAGATTGGTGATTTTGTCTGTCATTTCTTCTGTGCATAAGCACAGTTTTACTCCTTCTTTTCTAATTAGATGCCTTTTGTCTTATCTGATTGGCCAGATCTAGTACAATGCTTGGTGATGAGAGTGGACATCTTTGCCTTTTTTTCTGATCTTAGAGGGAGAAAAAATCAAGTCTTTCACCATTACAGTGTTAGCTATACATTTTTTATAGCTTCTCTTTATCAAGTTGAGAAACTTCCCTTCTCTTTTTTATTTGCTGAGAGTTTTATTAGGATTGGATATTAGATTTTGTCAAATGCTTGTTCTTTTTATCTATTGAGGTAAACATATGATTTTCTTTAGTTTGCTAATATAGTAGAACACAGTTTGATTTTAAGTGTTAGCTGAACCCTGCATCCATAGGGCAAATCCCAGTTGGTTAGGGTATATTATCCTTTTACTATATTGCTGGGTTAACTTATTAAATTTTTATTTGGAATATTTTCATCCATGCTCATGACAGCTATAGATTTTAGGGGTTTTTTGTTTGTTTGTTTTCCTCTTGCAGTGTCTCTGGTTTTAGGAGGAGGATAATACTAGTGTCAAAGAATAAATTGAAGAGTATTTCCTCCTACATAATTTTCTAGAAGAGATTGTGTAAACTCAGTATTAGTTCTTTAAATGTTTGGTATAATTCTTCCCTGAAATCATCTAGGCCTGGAAATTTCCCTTTGGGAAGCTTTAAAATTGTGAATTTAATTTCTTTAATGAGTATAGGATGATACATATACTCTGTCTCATCTTGGAGGCATCAGTAGTTAATGCTTGTTCTCCATCTCTCTGGCCAGACCTATTTCTTGACTACTTTCAACACTTCCTTCACTTTTTTTTAGATTTGTGTGTGTGTGTGTGTGTGTGTGTGTGTGTGTGTATGTTTTCTCATCTATAAAATGGGCCTACTTCACTTTGTTGTTATCAATCTTAAAAGATATATCTCTCTGACATACCATTACTTTTTTTTTTTCTTGGAAGGCTATATTGTATATGCTGTCAGATAATGCCCTCTTTTATTTTATCAATCAAACCTATAGGGAGGAGATCAAAATATCAAAAAATAAGTAAGAACAAAGCTGATTCCTATTTTTGTTAAAATTTAATTTTATAGGCAAATATTTTGGAAAGTTTGCACCACATTATCATTTATCTGGGCCGAGTCTAGCTGGGATGAATTATAAATACTAGAAAATATCACAAAAGAATCATTCATGTGGTTGCTTACATAAGTTTTTTATTCTAAAAGATGATTACTTTTGTTTAAAGAGCCATGAGACAAAGGTAGCTGTCAATCTTTGAATTTATTTTTTATTCAAGTAAAAACTCATCTAGTAGGAATGACAGTGATGTTACAGTGTCTCTCTCTCTTGCTCTTTTTTTTTTTTTGGTTTGTTGTTTCAGGAAACATGTACTTCTCCCTTTTAATCCAAAGTTCTAGGGACCGAAGGTCTATGGTTCTACAACTTTCAAAATTGTCAATTTGATTCAATTTGTTAAGTTTAAAGTACCAAATTTCTATCGAAGTCCAAAGTTGTCCTCATAGACTTTGCTGCTTGTGTAAATTGCTGTATGGAAGAGATTTCTATAGATCCAGGAGAAAAAGATGAATTATGGAGTGGAACCATATTTGTAACTAACATGCCTACAATTTCCCCTGTGGTATGTGTCAATAAGATGATGCAGCTCTCTTCACTTAGTCCTGTGCAATGCACACTGGGCATCTCAGTAAATTTTGTTTTCACATAGGCAAGTAGCCTTGCACTTTTCCTTAAGCAATTCATGTCCACAGCCAGCTGTTTTCTTCAAGGAATCACAGTTACTAAGGAGATCTTCAAACTCGCAACTGTTGGCTGTGACAAAAACAAATTAATTTCTCATTATCATTTTCCTCAGTAGCAGCAAAACAATCGTACATTCAAAAGTGCATGAGGCTGGTAGGACTGGACAAAACAAGTCAACATCACTTATGCAATGATGGGCTTTCCCTTTCTTGAGGGACATATCAGGTGCCTTAGTTGAGCTCACTGATTAAACTATCACTTTTTTATTTTGAACTTGGCAATATGTTTCCAAAATAAATTGGCCTATTTTTCTCCCTTAGCCAAGAAAGTTAAATAAATATAAATAAATCTCTCTACACCTGCAGAGTCTAATATGGGAACAACTAGTCACATGTAGATATGTAAATTTAAATTATTCTAAATTAGATAAAGTAAAAAAATTAGTTCCTTAATCTTACTGGCCACATTTCAAATATTCAAAGGCCACATGTGACTAGTGGTTACTTGTAAGACACATGCTGATAGAGAACATCTCCTTCATTTCATACTGTGGAATAGCACTGCTTTAGACTCCAATGCTTGTGTTCTGGAGAAAGGAATTTCTATGGGAAGATGAAGATGCAAAACAATGATAATATGCCCCCTTTCCTTCTGGTATTTCTTCTTGGATCCTCCCCAGGGGCCACAAACTCAACAAATATCAAACTAAACTCATCATACTACTCACATGGCTGACAATTCTTGGGTATGGTCTCCCTGTATCCCCTCCCACAATCTCAGAGAAATGGCTCTCCAAGATTTCCTAGGCCAAGAACTGGATCAGTTTGAATTCCTTCTTCCCTGCTTCTGACCAGCAATCAATCAGCACAGGTAACAAACACTGGTTATTCTATTTCTTGTTTTCCAACCCTGTCCAATTCTCTTCATTTATTTTGTCAGTAATGCAGTAGAAAGATTTTTTTTTTTTTTAAACCCATGGTTTTCAATGGTTTTCTAGCTGGCTTCCATCCAATTGTTTTTCCATACTATTTTTTTTTTTTAATTCTATTATGTTATGTTAGTCACCATACAATACATCATTGGTTTTTGATGTGGTAATCCACGATCCATTGTTTTCGTATAACACCCAGTGCTCCATGCAGTACGTGCCCTCCTTATTACCCGTGCCCTCCTTAATACCCATCACCGGGCTAACCAATCCTCCCTCCCCGCTCCCCTCTAAAATCCTGTTTGTTTCTCAGAGTCCATAGTCTCTCATGGTTCATCTCTCCCTCCAATTCCCCCTCCCCATATGTTTTTCCATACTACTGCTAGAAAGCTCTTTATAAAACACGGTTCCAACGCTGTCACTCTTTTGTTTAAAATCTTTCAATTGAGTGCTTATTGATAATAGGATAAATTACAAGCTTCTTACCAAATAGCATTCAGCAGAGCTATAAATATGTAACTTTTTCTCTTCTTTAGCTGATTTATAGCTTTAATGTCATCAATATTCTGAATTATAGGTATATAATTCAGTCAGTAAGAATGCTAACTAAAGATGAATGCATTTGAAAGGTAAAAATCTCAATGAATGAGATTCATTCAACTGTATTATTTATAACAATTTGAATACAAGTATCCCAACTATAAAAATCTAAGAGCTATTTTTACTTCTATTCATTACAACATTAGAAATTATATATATGACATTTATTTTTCTCTCCTTTTGCAACAATATTTTTGTAGGTTCTGTGAGCCAACACTATATACAGATTTGATTTTGTCATAAAAAATGTGCAGTATACTATCAAATTATAGGGAAAGTGATTATTTATTAAGTTAAACACTATTCCAATTATACTATAGAAAAAAAGAAGTAGTCAGCATAATGAACTCCTTAGCACAAAAGTAGTATAATAATAATTAAAAATAATACTAAAATAATAAAAATAATAATTTAAAAATACGTTGATGGAAGATCTTTCATTATCTTACATATGGTAATATTCTTTTCATTACAAATAATATGTAGGATACTAAAGTGTGTAAAATGTTTACATAAACACACACTATATTGAGTAACATCTTATAAAGATATTATTTGAATTGGTTACTTTAGGAGATTTCTTAACCCATAAAAAGAAAAAATATCAACTTTTTATTATAATAGCAAGGTGATCACTCCAAACTTACTGCATAATCCATTGTCACAGTTACCAGGGCAACTAGCACAAGGTGTTCCTTGTTGGTAAGGGGTATTCTTTTTACTCACATCATTGCCACTGAAATTTAAAATACATAATGTCAAATATTTTTCACTTTACAGTTTAGTTTATATTCCCCAAGGGCAGTATAAATTAACAAATATACATAACTACAAATGTTTTCAGTTATGTTAAAAAACTGAAAAATTACAATTCCTAGTGAGTAATTCAGGTAACATTCAAATTAAGAAAATACTTCACATATTGACCCATCTCCTTGACTATAATTCTTCAGACTGAGCAACTAAATCAGATTAAATGGAGTCTGAAGTTTTCAGAGTATATTTCAATGTGGCCACACTCTCTTCATCTCCTAGTAGACTTGATCAAATTGGTAAGGCAGTACAGCCCAATGTGTTAGCTAGAGGTAGAGTATATTCCCTAGAGAGACAAAAGAGCTCCTGGGAGGCAGGAGGTTGCAGTTTGGAAAAGGATATTTGATGTTACAATATCATTTTATATTTGAAAGATAATAAAATACCAAGTTTCTCTAATATAATCTAGAAACAGTAAACTCCAGTATATATATATATATATATACATATATAGCTTTAATATACACATACATATATGTGTGTGTGTATATATATATATACAGTATTTTACCTTCTAGATGGAGGTAGTGATACTTAAGTAGTTAGTGTGTGTGTTTCTGGGACAGGCAGAAAAAAGAAATCTGTGAGTTTCTAGAGGTATTTGAGAGATTTTTAAACTTACCAAAAGGGGAATGTTCGTTCAAAAATTTTGACAAGCATGAATATCCAGAGTGTAATCACATTATAGTAACTAGCTTACAGCTTGCTGATGATCATTACTTATTGGCCATTTAATTTATTTGAATTACAAGGGAATCCAAATCTCAGTAGTATCAAGTGGGCCAAGAACACAAGGCCATGTATCTGAATCTCACCTCTTCACAGAATATAACTGACCATGTGTGAGCCCCTGGAAAAATGTGAAATAGACACAAACATGTTCTGGAAGTTCTCTTATCCCTGCTTGCCCTCATTATTCACTCCAACTCTCACTTCAGATGCCTTGCTCCTGATCCTCCTCTTTTATAGCCAGCCAGTGAGTTTGGATGCATTCTCCTAGGACCTTTCAATTCTTTCTACTAAACCCTAAGAAGTGCTTGCAGGAAAATGACATTGGAGGTCATACTTCTCACCCTGGAGATCCATATGCTCAGGTTATCTACAATCTCAAAATAAATCCTATAGGCCTTGGTTCTAGGGGTCCCCCGGTCTCCAGTGGCAAGAAACTTCAAACATTAAAAGAAAGTAAGGTTAACAGATAAGTTCAGATTAGATCTTCAATATATCCACAGAACTTATTGTAGGTAAATTCAAACACAATCCTTGATGAAAGAACATTTTCCTGCTACTGGTAAAGACCTTAAAGGATGGTTCATTATGGAGATTTTGTGAAAACTTCTGAAAAGCAAAGACTGAAGATGTGGTTCTTTTCTGGACTCTGAAGTACATTAAAGATCTCTTGAAAAAACGTTGAGATGAAAAAGAATAAATCATCTGTGATGGTAATAATGTAGGTGGTGTTATAGATAAGCAGGGCAAGGAACCTGTTAGCAGGAAGAGCTGAAATCACAGTCTGCCATCCCCTACTTTCCACTCCATTACCTTCCCTTGCTTAACCATCAAGCTGCCACCCTCCTAAAGTGTGAAGTTGATGAGAACTGATGATATCAAATCTAGAGAAATGCACACTGCCCAGGCTCATGGAATAGCTGTGAGCCCAAGGGAAAGGTGACTGAAAGAAAAGATGTCACTCTGTAACTGAGGGAAGAGAGTTTCAGATTTTATACTTGGATTTGAGAACCTGGTCTCTTCCCTGATAAGTTGAATGTATCTCAACTTAAAAGGCATTTCTAAAGATTTATACCTTCTGGATGGACCTAGAGGGCATTATGCTAAGTGAAATAAGTTAGATAGAGAAAGTTAGATAAAGATACAATATGATTTCACTTATACAGGGATTCTAAAAAAATAAACAAAAATAAAAAATAAAAAGCAGAAACAGACCATAAGTACAATAACAAAATGATGTTTGCCAGAGGGGTGGCAATGGGGGGTGGGCAAAATAGTTGAAGGGGAGTGGGAGGTACAGGTTTCCAGTTATGGAATAAATAAGTCATGGGGATAAAAAGTACAGCATAGGGACTAAAGTCAACAGTATTGTAATAGTTATAATACCATGGGATGCCTGGGTGCCTCATGCAGTTTAGTGTCTGCATTTGGCTCAGGTCATGATCCCGGGGTCCTGGGATTGAGTCCCACATCAGGCTCCCTGCTCAGTGGGGAGCCTGCTTCTCCCTCTGCCTGCCATTCCTCTGACAAATAAATAAATAAAAATCTTTAAAAAAATAAAAAAATAGTTATAATAGCATTGTATGGTGACTGCTGATAGCTACACATGTGGTGAGCATAGCACAAGGTATAGACCTGTCACTATGTGATGCACATAAAACTAAGGTGACATTGTGTATGAACTATGCATCAATTTTAAAAAAATGAAAAAAAGGATTTATTCCTTTGCTTTACTGAAATATGACTTATATTCTAGTTTGTTTACTATACAAGAATTTTAAAATAGTAATTTGTACATAGGATTATTGCATGAAACTCTAAAGTATATACTTACGCAGGACAATATTGGCAAACGTAGTAGTATTTTAGATTTTCTTGATTGGGGCAATAGGCAATTCCACATCCAACATGGTAAGAAGAGTACCAAACAAGCTACAATTCCAAAAAGAAGTATATGAGAGTACATTAAAGAAGAGGGAAAATATTGAAAAAAATGTAGCAAATGTAAAACTGAAAAAATGTTACTATTATAGTTTGTAGCCAAGTACCTTTTGAAAACATTTAGTTCAATTATTGAAGAAAATCACAAATTTTAAAATATTAAATCTTAAGGTACCTTCACTATTTTATCCATTTCTAAGTTTGAAAAAGTACAGAGTATGCTTCCTTACCAAGAGTTTTTCAAGTGATGGAAAAAAATGACAGCTCTAGATGAAGTACCACCCAATGCCAGGACTATTATATCTATTCAGGCTCTTACCCAAATTGAACATTGGACTTGGTCATAATTTAGAGATGCTTTCATATTAGAGCATTTGTGGTAGAAGTATTTTCATTTGTTTGTCTTACCTGGGTGTAATGCCCAACAACTGCACCAGAACTCTTAGGTCCTACACCATAGACAAAATTATGGCGCTCCTCATACCAGCTTTGGATTGCATCTGACCATGGGGCAGGGTAGCTTGACATATAGAGATTCTCACCACATTTTGTACCTAAAGAGAAATGGATCATCCTTGAGGAAGCAATAAAACATGCAATGGCAAAAGAAATCAACTATATAAACACAAGGATGTTGCCCTTCAAACACAGTGCCTATTCTGTTAATACATAATAAAAGGGCTTCTGTCCTTCTCAACTCTAAAGCTGAATAGAAGACAGATCTGTCTAGGGGGACCTGAGTAGCTTAGTGGGTTAAGTGGCTGACCCTTGATTTCAGCTCAGGTCATGATCTCGGGGTCCTGAGATCAAACTCTGCATCAGGGTTCCCACTCAGCAGAGAGTCTTCTTGAAGATTCTCTCTCTACCCCGCCCCCCTCTCTACCTCGGCCCTTCCCCTTGCTCACACACACTCTCTGTCTAAAATAAATAAATCTAAAAAAAAATAAAGATCTGCCTAGGATGCTGAGGCTGACATCAGCATGCAAAACTTTGAATAGGTTAAGAAGACCTTATTATTCAAAAATCCTCTGGAGTTTCAGAGATGCATTCTTTTTCAAGCTAAATTCTTCACATTGTAATGACTCCTATGCTCTTAGCTTTGTACTGTAAATTTGCAAAAGGCAGTGACCAACTTTTATGCTTTTTCTCTTCCTCTTGTCCACCCTCACCAGAGAGTTTTTACATATTGGACCCTGTCTAAATGTTTATGATTATGATTTTGTGTGAACTTGGAAAAAGAGTTCTACAGGCAGTCTATAAGAGCCCCAATTAACAGGCAACTGACATCAGGAAGGATGGCAGATTTCAAAGCTTTTGGATTCTCTCTTAATCACTAAATCAGAATATCATAAGGCCAAATCTTCCTCCTTTAGAATTAGGCAAGAAGAGCCTTGCCGAAGGTGACATCAGCAAGATGGTAGAGTAGGGAGCCTTGGACTCTCTTTCCCTTAACAAACACACTGATCCAACAACAATTTCCAAAACATTGCCTTGGTTGGAAATCCAAAACTAATTGAAAGACTCCTAGACCCTGGGAGAATATGAACCCTGACTCACTGAAGTCTGTAGTGAAACTGGGACACCCTCTTGCTAGAATGCTTACCCTCAGCACAGTGCCTGCCATATGATCAGGAAAAGGTCCCCTAACCCCCAACTTCTCCCAGAGGAAGGAAGGAGTTGGTTCTTGTGTCCAGCATCCCAACCTTCCCTATGGAAACTCCCCAGATGGCTGGCTTCTGTCTTGGTAGTCTTGGAGCTCTGACAGTCAGGCACAGGCTAGCCATCTGTAGGAGAATGGAGATGGTGGCTTGAGCTGGTAGATACCATATCTCCTCCCCTTGACTCAGCACAGAGCAAGCAAATGAAAAATCTTAGTTCTCAGCTTCCTCCTGGGGAAGCAAAGAATTGATCAGTGTGTCCAACGCTCCAATTTCTCCAGGGGTCCCTAGAGAACTGACTTCTGTCTTGCTTGTCTTGAAGCTCTGATGGGTTTGACATAGTTACAGTGTTACTTCCTGGGGGAGAACAGAGATGGTGGTTTGGATTGGTAGATGCCATGGCTCATCTCCCCAGCTCAGCACAGAGCAAGCAAGCAAATACCATAGCTGCCTGTTTCTCCCTGTAGTGGGAAAAAGTTGGCCTGGGCATCCAGTGCCAGAAATTTTCCAGATGCTGCCCAGAGGATTGACTTCTGACTTGCCTCTCTGAAAATGTTAACAGATCTAGCATAACCAAGATGTGGAGCTCATGAGGCTAGAGATTTGGGTTCATAGTTGCCATAGCTTCCCTTCCTAGTTCAGCACAGAGTGAGCAGATAAAAAACCTGAGCTTCTAGCCTCTTCCTGAGTAGGGAAAGAGTTGGATGGAATGCCCAAAGATCTATCTCTTTCAGGAGGCTGCCTGAGGAACTGACTAGAGATCTTTTCTGATCATGATTTGATTGGACATTCTCCAAAGATGCACAAATGGCCAACAGGTATGAGAAAAGGTGCTCAATGTTGCTAATCACAGGGAAATGCAAATCAAAACTACAGTGAGATATCACCTTATACCTGTCAGGATGTCTATTATGGGGAAAATAAAAAGGACAACAAGCGATGATAAGGATGTGGAGAAATTGGAATCCTGGATACTTTTGTTGGTCCTAAAAAATGGGGTAACTGCTGTGGAAAAAAGCATAGAGGTTCCTCAAAAAATTAAAGGTAGAACTACCAAATGATCCAGTAATATCACTTCTGAGTATTTATCCAAAAGAATTGAAATCAGGATTTTGAAGAGATATTAGCATTCTTTATATTCATTGCAGCACTATTCACAGTAGTCAATATATGAAAACCTAAAATCCATGGACAGAAGAATGGATGAACAAAATGACACACATATATATACAATGAATGTCATTCATCCTTAAAAAAGAAGGAAATTCTGCAACAGTTGGTTGAGACACTATGGATGAATCTTGAAAACATGATATTAAGTGAAATAATCCAGTCACAGAAAGATAACTACTGCATGATTCCATTATATAAAGTACCTAAAATAGCCAAATGCATAGAATCAAAGAATAGAACAGTGATAGATAAGGATGGGGGGAAGGAGAAATGGGGAATTACCAATCAATGGGCATAAAGTTTCAGGTAAGCAAGATGAATAAGTTCTAGATGAATAAATTCTGCTATACAACGTTGTACCTAGTCAGTAATATCATACAGTACAGTTAATTATTTGTTAAGGGTGTAAGTCTCATGGAGTGTTTTTACCACAATAAAAGAAATAACTTGTTGCCCAGGAACTTTTCTCTATCTTTTCAAGCTCTTAATTATGAGTTACATTTGGGTAGCTTGAAATATAATGTCTACCTGCTGCTTAAAGAGAGTATAAAATATTCTTGGGTATCTCTTTTAATATGGAAAAAAGAAACTGAGAATCTAATAGTAGACTTGCATCTTTAAGACCATTTGTTTTAATCTTTACTGAATGCAGTCATTCTCTTCATAATTTCATTAATAGAACAACATCAACAATATAAGTAATAATGTGATGAAATTAAAGGTAAAAATTCATTGCTTTCAAATTGAGCTTGCCTATATGTATATTATGGTTGATAACATAAATAAATATTTGATGTAAAGGTTTATGCATAAAACATTTTTTCTTTCATAGTAGAATACTTGATAAGGATTCAAAAATTAAAAATGAACCAACATACCCAAAGTATTTATCATGATTTTATAAATTTAAGTATTTTTAGAGCAAAAGTCACAAAATTCAGGAAAAAATCACCATAATTCAGTATCTTATGAATACAAAAGAAGAGATATGAAAACTTCAAACAGCTACCCAATATCACAAAAAAGAGCAGAGGATTAGAAATAATTAAGTCTGGTTAACTTTCCAGTATATGACACACTTCAGATTGTGTCTTGGGGAAGTCATTCCTCCCCAGTCCTCATCTTCTCATCTTTAAATCTGGAGAAATAATGATACATGACCTGTTGACTCATGAGCTGGTTGAAAGAAAAAATTAAGTATTGCTTCAGATGTTATTTGCATAATGTAAACAATCAACAAGCACAAAATGGTACCTATAATTCTCTCTTCTTCTACAGATACTTTAATTTTAAAAAGAACACTATAGGGGAGCCTGGATGGCTCAGTCGGTTAAGCAACCAACTCTTGATTTCAGCTCAGGTCATGATCTCAGGGTCGTGTAATCAAGCCCTGTGTAAGGTGTAAGGCTCCACACTGGACATGGAGCCTGCTTGGGATTCTCTCTCTCTCTCCCTCTGCCCCTCCGCCTGCCCC